CTTTTGCTCTCAATTTTCACACACAAAACTGTATCTTTTCCCCGATTTAAACCACAGCTGCAAATACATATCAAATCACTGGAACCAAGAAATCCATGACTCTAGCATTTCCCTTTCCTGGTGCACCTCTGGCTGTCAAAGCTGCTGAGTAGTTCCTAGGGCTGAGCCTTCCAGACTTTGCCCCTGGCTTTCCTCAGTGAGACCCTGCAAACTCTCTCTGCTTGAAGACCTGTGCTGTAAGGAGTTTGATCCATTACCTGTGCATTCCTAAGTATTTTTCCCTGCATTATACTTAGCTATTAAGTGATTGTTCCCTAAAAAGTCACTGTGCTGACAAGAACATTGGATAACAAGGACTGTGTCCTCATACTGCTTAGCACTGGTGATGTGTCACTTTGTCTGTGTCTGTAGAGTCATGTTATGTTATCTCTGTCTTCCCAGTGGAGGGAGGTTCATCTGGCTGATGATATCTGTGAGATGCTTGTGGGTGCACTGACAGACTATCCCTCAGCTGGTATGTTTGGATGCTGATACATGTTCCCAAATATTGTATGCTATGGAGAAATGTTCATCAGGGATGTTGCAGCCCTGGGGAAGGGAGGAAGACTTAGGATCTGTTAAAGCCAAAGGACTGGAGACCCAAGCACTGGTCCAATGCCAGTGGCACAGACCTGTCCAGTCCTGGCATGAAGTGTGAACATCTCCCTCTCCACCCCTGCAGTACATGAAGCATGAGAAAGGTTGTCTGCATGGACGGAGAGCAGCGGGTTGCTCAAAAGGTTGCCACAGGAGTCATGCTGCTGTTCATCTGCTCTGGCACACATCCTGTAGGCATCCTGGGTTTGCCTGTGGCAAATGTTACTGCATGCCATGAGCAGTGTGTTCACCTCCTCAGGCAGCTGGGGAGCAGGCAGGCAGCCCCGTCCCCTGCCCTTCAGGAGGAGGAAGTTTCCAACAGCTGGCTGATGGTGAACAGAGGCCTCAGCATCCTTCTGTACCTGTCCTCTTCTGGCAGCGTGGGGCAAGACAGAGAAGAGTGAAGGGAAGGTAGTGGTGCTGCTAGCAGGAAATATTGGCAGGGATGTGATTTTTCTGCACTCATCAGGCACAGATTATTTCTGCCATAAGGAAGAAAGGAGGGCAAAATAAAAAAATAAAAAATAAAAAAAATAAAGGTCAGTGGCAAACCCAAACTATCATCCTCACCTTGCAGGTATAGGCAGAACCATCTATAACACCATGCCAGCATTTAACTAAGCAGGGTCCTTTCAGAATGATTGCGGTGTGACTGAGCAGCAAGTTCAGCATTTAAAATGAAAATCAACACTTCCCAGCAGTGAGGTAGATCATTAAACATTTTGTTGCATGAGCCAGCATCACTTTTCTGAAAAAAGGTGTCAGGATGTTCAGCCAAATGTGCAATTCAGTTGGCTTAACTTTCCTGACCGCTTTCTAATTTGGTTTTAATGAAGATATAATTAAGAGGTAATGTCAGTAGAGCAGAACATTGTCACAGGATAATGGTCTCCTGCTGCTGCATAAATGGTAAATGCAGTAAATACAGAAGGAAAGCGGGAATGTTTATTTTCAAAGCAGGAGGCATTGATCCTGGGACACTCTTCTGTGTTGATACCTTTATTTCCATTTTGTCTGGAGAAAGAGAGACAGCAGACTCAATTGGTTTTGGCCCACTCCTGCTTCGCAGGAGGAGGAGGAAAACTCTCAAGGTGGTGGTGCTACAGTGGGAATGCAGGGCTGCTAACAACAGCTCATGGGTTAGACTCGCAATTGCTCACTTTAACCTACGGCATTCGTGCTGCCGTAGGGAAGGCAGCAATTGAGTGCCTCCGTGGATCAGTGCTACAGAATAACTTAGCCATGATAGTAGTGTTTATAAAAGCAAATCTCCCCTCGGAAACCTGCCTTTTTTACTTTACGACTAGCTGGAGCTCGTGTGGTTCATCGTTTCTGGTGAGCAATGTCTGTCTTGCAGCATTGCAATAGCAGAGATAAAGATTTTATGTTCCAGCAAATACTGTGCACCTCCACTGCAATTCCGGCTGCAAAATATTCCCATTCTAAACGTCACTCTCCATTTTTCTTCAAAGTTTTGCAAAAGTTCTTTGCAGAGAAGTGCTCTTCCCAGGCATTTAGGCCAAGTAATAGCTTTAACTGTTTTTTGCATTATGGGGGATGACAAGATATACTATCTCCTAAAGCTAAGACTGTTTTTTCAAGCAGAAAACTGCATAAAATAACTGCAAATGAGACTTTTGCTGAAATATGGATAAATCTGCGAAGTTAAAACTTCCTGTGAAATTAGTACTCGCTGAAGAGAGCTGTCTTTGTTCTGTCTGAAATATTTTGGGTTTTGAATTTGCAAACTAATGACAATTTAGAGCACACAGTGTAAGTCAAATCTTCGAGGATGCCCAAGGAATAATAGTACCTACCTCTTATGTAGTGCTCTTCATCAATAACTCACAAAGCATTTTATGCTAATGAGAGTGAAGGCTAGCCAGATATGGCTACATCAAAAAAAATAAAAAAAAAATAATAAAAAAAAATCCAGCACTTTTACGTTTCTGCTCTGAAGTGGAAGCAAATCCAGCCTTTCAAAAATGCTAATAAAAGCTCAGAGACGGTTAGCATGCCATATGTTAAACTCATCCAAACTAAAGGGGATTTGCCTTCAAGGCCAGAGCAGGTCTTGTATTTAAACGTTCCCTAACTACTGCATTGCTTGCAGTCATTTTGTTCTTGCCTGGAGAGATGTGCACGCTGAGGTGGGCTTCCTGGGTCTGCGGCCAAGGGGTTGGCAGGAACATGGAAACTGTAATTCTGAATGCCCCATTTGGCTCTTGCAGGCTTGATCTGGGCCTGTCATCTTCTGCAAGAGGATGTGCCATCATTCTGTCCATCTCATTGATGAGGGTAGATGCTCTTCACCTACTTGTCCTTTGTGTAGTACTTTTGCCAACAACCTCTTGCTTTGCACGGAGCTCCAAGCAGTTGTTCTCCGTTTAAGCCACCACAGCTCAGGTGGAGCACTTTCTGGTGAAATGAGGCATCTCCTTCTGGACCAGAGAATCTCACCTGTCACACAACAGGCTCTATGACAGCTGCATGCCTGGTAAAACCTTGTTTTGTCCAATCACCATTTTACAGACAGAGGAAATTCTTTTACCAGCTGGCCAAACCCCAAGTCATCATCACAGCAGCATTTTCTCAGACATGAAAGTCAAGATGCTGTAAGCTAAAGACATGTGCCTGATGTTAGGAACTGGTAGGAGAGCTGGGCATAGGACACAAATGCTCTGCCTCTCAGCACATTGACTGTGAAATGGCAGAATTAAAAGCAGGGGGTATTTTCAGAGATAATACTGTGAATCTGGAAGACTTTGTGAACACTAGAGTCACAGGGCTGTATTTACATCAGGGGCACCTGGTCAGAAGTCCCTGTCAATTAGCTCTTGATATTGTCAAAGGAAGCTGGAAAATCACATGGAGGAGCTGCGTTTGCTCAGAGGGGCTGATATGGCCAATGCTCTGTGTCAGCCCCTTTGAAGGGGGCATGTGCATCCTTGCCCGATTTGTTGCTCCTTGCCCAGCAGGAGGAGGTTGGTGGATCCAGAGGTCCAGCATCTCCAAGAGGCGAGGAAATATCTGGAGAGTCTGTGTGGGCCATCCTCAGCCACTTGGGCAAACCTTGAAACTCTGTCAGGGACAGGAGCAGCCCTGCAGCCCCGGCCATAGCCTGAGCAGCAGCAGGCATGCTGCCCTGCCTGGTCCCTGGACCAGGATGTGCTGTGGGATACAGTGCCTCACTAAAGTGCTGTCAGCCAGGCAGATTTATGGAGGCTGCCTGTTGCAAAGTAAAGCTGGAGAGGGAAGAGGAGCAAGGAGCAACACATTTCCCTTTAAGTGAGTAGGAAACTCTCCAGAATTTCCTTCACCCTGTGGGAGCATTTCACTTTCCACTGAACAGCACCATAAATTTCACCTATCGGTAGAAGTAAAGATGTTTTATGGCTGTCCGGGCTGAGCTATGATTGACTTACAGTCCTACAAATCATTCCTCTGCTCTCCTCCCTCTTGCCTCCTAACCGGGAGACAAGCAGGGTGGGAGGGAACAGCCGTCACAAGCCCCTAATGAATGAGGGGAGAGACATCCCACAGCTTTCCTCTGCTTGGCTGCGAGCAGGCAAGGGGAGCAGGCAGAGCTGAAACCCTGGGGTGAGCAGCAGGCTAAGCAGTGCTGCTCCCGCTCAATGGGATGCTGAATCCCCCCGGGTAAGGTGCAGGGTGCTGGGCTGAAGAACAAGGAGCCAAGAAGAGCCATGCCGTGAAGGATTTGCTCATGCCAAGGTGCCACGCAGCGCTGCGTGCCGTGCTGGAGCGTTTCCAGATCCGGAGATGTTGCATTTGTAACAAATCAGTATGCGTGCTGCTTGCTCTGTTGGAATATCATCATTGTCCTTTATTACATTAAAGGGGAACATCTTTATCTCATGGTGATTTGGGTGGGACGTGACATTGCCTGATGTAAGAGGGGCCTGTAATATCAAGGAGACAGCCATGAAATAATGCGTTACACACTGAATTGAACAGCAGGCTCATTTACATTTCTTTAATTTGGAAATATGAACATTCGGAAATTCTCTTCTCCACTTGCATTCCCTTATTTGGGGAACATGTAAATTACATTTATGATAATCTAGTATTTAACTGGTACAAGCATTGCAAATTCCAGAAGCAAATGTTTCAAAATAAGCAGGAGCTGTGCCAACTACCTTTGAAAATGCATGTGGCAAAAACCACCTCTGCAGATGACTCAGGGTGCATTATCTTCGGCTTCTGGACCTGCTCCTGCAAAGCTTGTAGAGCAGATGGGATGGCCAGGGTGAGGCTTGTAGGGCTGGACCTTTTCTCCCAGTCACAGTCGAGCATGGCAGATGGATTTAATTAATAAACTGGTTGTATCGCCTCTTCTGTTGTGCGCAGGGTCATTTTTCGCAGCCTGTGAGACCCCGGAATTGCAGATGAAAATGACGGCAAAGGACCTTTTGGATCAGCCATGCTCAAAGAATGCTGAAAAGCCTCTTCTACGGTAATCCCACCCGTACTTTTTCCAGTCTCACGCTGGAAACCTTCTATTAACATTGCCTCATGTTCAGCTGCTCACCAGACAGTTTACTCTATTGCCTCTGTAGCAGCTCTTAGTATTAAGTCCTTTCTCTTGTACCTAAATGGAGTTGTTCCACTTTTAATTTGAGACCCTTTTACCAGTTCTGCTGCAGGGAAAGTTCATTCTCACAGCACACAGACATGAGTGCTGGCTGCTGCTCCCTCCTGCCGAATGAATTGCTTTCCACTGTGCCCTTCCCTTGCAGCATCCACAGCTCTTTTTGCCATTCCCTCTGCCCGTCTTTAAGTTCACTGCCACTTTTCAGTGCCTTTTTTAGGACGCAAGGCTTAAAAGTTCATACCGTACTCCAGCTCCAGTCTTGCCCGGGCTGCATGATGCTGCACGTATCCCTCCCTTTGTCATACATACAGCAGATCCCTTTTTACACCGCCCTCCCCGGAACACCAATTGGTTGTTTTGCAATGTGAGCTCTTATGCACTTCATTATCCACTGCAACCCCAAGGTCTTTCTCTATATTAATGTTTCCTAAATATCTGTGTTGATTGCTGTTATTTCTCCCTAGGTGCATTACTGTCCCATTCATCAATATTAAATAAATTTCATTTTGTTGATGTCTTCCCATGACTCAGAAACTGCCAGATAATTCTGCAAGAGGGATTTACTATCCCTTTCCACCTATTCATTTTATATTTTATTGCTTTCAGAACAAGCAAGGTTAAACAGAGCATTGCTTCATATAGATCACATGTTCAGAATACAGTAGGGAATAAAAGTATTTGGATAAATAATTGAAAGCTGAAAGTATGATCTTTTTAGAAAAGCAAGAAAAATATAATCTTTTCCCATAAAATATAAACTTAAAAATATAAATATAACTTGCATTTATTTTTTTCCCCTTACCCAAACTCGAATGATCAGAGGAAGGTAAAGAAACAAAATCTACTACCTCCTTAAAAAAAGTCAGAAATCTTTAACAAGCCTGAACTTTCCATGTAAGCATTTACATTTGAAGCATATGACTTTGGGGAGTAAAAGTATGCTGAGAAATCCTGACAAAGGTGGCATTAAGGCAGTACCTGCCTGTTTCACAGAAGGAACAGCACAGAAATTGTTGCTTTGATTAACAGCTCATCACTTTTCAGGAAAACTCTGAAACATTTGCCTGAAGTGAATCATGTGCCATGGTTCAATGGGCTTCCATGTGTTTTTGCTGTGCAGAACGGGGACTGAACTAAGCATATGCTGCAGAGTCTTGGTGAACAGCAGTCCCTTGAGCAAAATTTTCAGGCTATTGAATTTAGGCACCTGGGTACCTGGCTATATGTGCCTTGCTCAAAGCACAGTAAAGGTATGCTGAAGAGGTGGGAACTGAATCCAGAATTACAGCTGTAACTCTAGTCTCAGAGAAATCAGAGGGAAATTTGCAGCTGACTTCACTTGTCCTCAGGTTTCAGTGCCTGGCTTCTAACTGCAAGATCCTCCTGGATATGTTACTTTTAAAAAAGTAATAAATCACACACATACACAAAATAACAAAAACAAAACAGCAACCAAACCCATGTATGATTAAGCAGAAACATTAGCGTACCCATACACCCATTTCTTGACATTGTCAATAGCCTTTGATATATTAATGCGTAATTGCTTACAGAAACCTGCACAGATCAAAGAGAAAGGACAAGTTGAGGGGGAACAAGTTCTCTATTATGAGAAGAAAGGCGCAATTACACAGAGGTCTGGTTAAAGGAAGAAAGATCTTGCTCTGCAACCCAAGGCAGCGGGCTGAGCTCAGAGCAAATGAGGATCTCGTGCCCAATGTTTGGCCATGCTCACCTTACAAATCACCTGTGAGGTACTGAGCACTGAAACCTGCCAAAACCCTGTCAGAACAAGTACCCATGAGTGCATGAAGGTGCAAGAAGCTCTGGGCATAAGCTGTCCATCAGGGGCTGCTGGTGCTTCTGAAACAGCACCCAGATTCCATTTGGCATTAAAATAACCCTGACTTTTTTTTTTTTTTTTGTGGAGAGCCAAAAATAACACCGTTTGATGTTCCCCATGGCTGGCTGGCTCCCAGGTGCCAATTACCAGCTCATGGCTAATACTTTGAAGTTTTGCTAACCTTAGTAAGTCTGCCTTGTGCCTGTGCTGCTTGTTCTCACTGGATTTGCGGAGCATCGGTTTAGGTTATCCCCGAGGCAAAGATAGCTTCAGGAGGAGAACCCAAACAGGACTCCTTGATTATGTGACATTTCTCTGACAGATTCGTTTTCAGTAATTACATCTGCACAGTGGAGTTAGGGCTCTTCAGCAGGCAGTAGTGGAAGCTGACTTCTCAGAAAGTAAATACCCAGCAGCCAGGACTGTAACAGATTTTACGGAAGGGACTAGTAATTCACTTAACTGTGTCTCAAAAAAAGTCCTTTCTCTACATTTCTCCTCAGTATTCTCTTGGGCAGTCTCTAGACCTGCTAAATTTGTAGTTCTCATTTAATTCCCTGACATGTTCTTATTTTTTAAAGCTTTATTTTCAGCTATTGAAGTACAAGAGATTGCTTTTGGCCTCAAGCCTTGCTTTCCAGACAGGCAGCATGAGCCTCCAGTTCTGGTGTAACTTAAAGAGAATACTTTCTGCTTTGGCATGAACAGCTCAGAGTTTGTTTCTGAGCCCACCTGCACTTTCCCACACTGTTCCATGTTGCCTGTGGTTGCAAATCTTTTCCTGGCTCTGCCAGAGGAGGACACAGCCCTCACACCAAGCCTGTGCCACGAAGAGGCAGCTTCTTCTGAGATTAAAGGCTTGGGTTTTTTTTGGAGGGCACAGTCCATCCGTCTCAGAGCTTATTAATTTCTTTCTCTCAGCAAAAACACTGTCCAGCAACCAGATCATTACTCTGTGAGTATACACCCTGCTAGAAAGGAGGGGAGCCCACCTGTCCTTTTTCAAAACTTCTCAGTTTGTCTTACGGTCTCATATTTCTGCAGGGGGGGTGGATCAGGCTGCAGGGGTCAGGGTGAGGGACAGCTCTGGCACAGGTCACCCAGGCAAGTGCTGGTGCATCCCTTCAGGAAAGAGGCCAGTGGTTGTACAGACCGCAGCATCACTCTGGTTGGGAGGTAAGTGCTGCTGGTGGCACCTCTTGGCAGGGGATGGAGATGTAAATGCATGCACAGGTAGTCATTGCTTCTCACAGCACTACATCAGAAATGTGACTGAAATCATTACAAATTATGCCTGCTGTATAATCTTTTTTTTGCTTTACCTAGTCTATAATTGCAACACCACCAAAAAAAAAAAAAAAAGTGTATTGGATTTGTCTGTCATGATCTATGTTTAGGGCTTGGCAGGATTCAATTTTAATTTCAACTTCAGTGATAACATTTTATTACCTGTGTTCTTTATTTATAGTTACACACTGCTTATTTATATTGATGTAAATATTTTTCGACCTGCTTCCAGGAAAGTGCTATCATCATTGGCTGAAAGAAAAGCAGCCTTCTTCTTTTTAGCAGCTGGTGTGATTTCAGAGAGACAGGGTCTACAAATTCATCTACCATCACAGGATTTAGTCCTTAATCGAGATAGAACAGAAATGACAAATCCATTACAAAACCTTTCCTGAAAGAGCCTGTCCATGGCCTGTTTTCCTGGAATATTGCATGAGGCAACAACATGAATCATGAGTAATGTTCAACACTGTGAAGTTTGGACAAGCTAGAAAATATTTTATTTTTTTTTTGAAAAACAAGAGAGGGCGGGAATAAGGTATTGTGCTATATATATATATATAAAAAAAAAAAAAAAAAAAAAAAAAAAAAAAAAACAGATTTCAGCTGAGAAAAAAAATTGTTTTAAGTATTTTGTGCATTTAGATAACCCAAGAAGATCCCATATGGCATATGAGCAAGTGTTAACAGAAAGATCATTAATCAAGTAATACGCCTACTGGAAACAAAACCTACAGCAGCTTAGAGAAAACAGACAAAAAGTTAGCCCATGGTTAAATAAATAAGTGAATGTCAGTGCTGGAGCATTGTTTCAGAGAGGAAGCAGCATGAGACTGTGGACAGCCAAGGTCTGGGCATTTCATCAACTCAACACCCAACTCAAAGAACCCCAGTACCAATGGGCTGATACCTGACCAGTGGAAAAAGTTTCCTGAATCAAGGTTGCTGGAGAAAGAGGGTGTGGGAATGTCTAACAGGAGCAAAACTTTGCTTTCTGCAGGAGAATTAAACCACAAGACCACATTGTGATCTGTGTGGACAGAGTCCATTGACTCATGTCAAACCAAAGGATTTACCTGCACAGGAAAGCAGTGGGATACTGGGAAGGTCTTCCCCAATCCTTCTCCCTCTCAAGGTGCCAAGTACAGAGCTCCATCACAACAGTCTGCCCATGTGCATGGATGTCCACAACGGTGCTGCTGACACCTCTGGTTCTTGCTCAGTAATGCTAAAAAAAAAAAAAAGAAATATTGCACTGAAACTGTCACACACAACAAGTCTAGATGTGTTTCAGAGGGTGTTTTTTTGTTTATTTCCTGGTGCTTGCTTGTTGATTTATGTTTGCTTGTTTACTTTAGGAAAAGGCTTAATTTTAAAAGAATATATAATAACACAAAATAATCGGCCCCAACATGCAGGCACCGCAGGTGTTATTGGTTCAGAGATGCAAAGCAGTGAGATGCTTCCATGTCAATGCAGCTAATTTTGCTAAATCACTTTACAGAACAAATCAGAAAAGCCAAGGCTATAACTATTTTCTGTTGCAACCCTAATGATCCTAAGTGCTCTGAGGAAATTGCCACTGAGCATTTTACCCTAAGTATTTGTAGAGCAGGCCTTAAGAATTATTGATAGTAAGAAAATAACAGATATTAATGAACATTTTCCGCAAGCCAGTGTATCACCAGAGAATTTACAAGTACTAATGTGCACTAAATTTGAAAAGCACAATTTTAATTCCATCCTGGAGAGTACTTAAATCTAAAAGAAAATTACTGACTTACTAAGTAGGGAATCTAACGTACAGTTGTCAGCACTGAATCGTCCTTTACCTCCCCACACAAAACCAAGCCCGTCCATCAATCTCAAAGTTTTTGTTCAATACTCCATTGCCAGGAACTGTTTTCACATTCAGGCGAGGGAAATAAAACCAGCAATAATACTAAATAAATGATTAAATACTGTATTTCATAAATAAGAATGAGTGGATAAGATAGAAAAAATAAGATAGGCTTAATATATATGATAATTAAAATATATTTTTAATATAAATATATATAAAATATATAAATACTAAAGAATAGGCTTAGGGTCCTTGATTTATGACAGAGATGCAGCCATGCAGCAGTACAAGAGGGCAGAGTGCCCCAGGACTTGTCTAGCAGGTGGTTGTGTTTTTCATTAAACAGTCCAATATCAGGTTGGAGAATAAAACAATCCTCTAGACCCTACTGGCCTTATAGACTTGGCTGGGGTGCATTTTTGATAGAATAGGTGCAAATGAGGAGGTTTATTTGATCTGCCCAGAAACATGGTGTATCTTACAGAGGGAGGGAGACAGGAGGTGTGGGCTGGGGGAAGCAAACAGGATGCATCAGCTGGAAGACCTGGTCCTCCAGATATAATTGTGGTTCTTCTGGCTTTACGTGTGTGGGTGACGAGGTACAGATGTGGGTGAAATTCCAAGGGAACAAACCATGGTTCCCATAGTAGTTCAGCCTCTCAGCGCTTACTCTGTAGTGTTTTGACATCAGCTCACCTTCAATGATGCGGTATTGGCAGCGATCCTCAGGGGAGCATCTGGTTGCCTTGGTAGGTAAATGAGTAGCAGCTGGGAAAAAATGGAGTTCACATGGGGACAGCAACACTGAAGGGCTTTCTGAGCTATTGATTTTCACATGTGCTCGAGGGAGCACAATAGGGAAGAAATTTGGGGTCAGCTCAGGTTACCCAGAATTTTCAGTAATTTGCCATCCAGTCCAATTGCTAGATTGATTGAACCTGGTTAACACTGCTTAATAACCTGAGCAAACAATCTTTGAAGTCAATTATTACGTCTTTGAAGAAAACAGCTCCAAAGCCTTGGAAAAGGGATTTGTGTTTAATATGGCTACAAAAAGGATTTTGCATGAATTGGACAGCAATTGCCAGTGCGGTGCTGGGATGCTCTCAGGTGTTTTTCCACCTTGATGCCTATGGGTCAAAGGTCCTCTCAAAACACTCAACATGGAGGCGAGGGGGGGACGAGTTGGTCCTTTATGCACCAGCCTCCAAGAAACATCTGCACCCAAGGCCATTTCAAAACCTGTCTCTTCCTCTCTTTGCATAACTCTCCCTGCTGCTCGCTCAGCTCTGATCATTAGGATTTGATCGCTTCAGGAAAGATGAATGCATTGACGTGCTTGCTTTTTTTTTTCTTTTTTCTTTTGGCATCCTGTTGTTCATGAATCATTGTTCTGTCACACAATAACTATAATTATTAATTTTCTGGACCTTCAGCTGATTGTCTTGGTAGAAGAGAAAAAAAAAAAAAAAAAAAAAAAAAAAACAGCAGAAAAAGGATGGTAGTGGGGTGTCAAAATCAGACTTATCTAGGAAATAGAACTAACCTCATGCTATCAGAATTGGTTCCTTTGGGTCAGAGCCCATATGCAAACTCACAAGCACACTTTGCTTCTTCTATTCTGTGGTGCCCAGGGTAGTGTGTCTGGTTTTCAATTGGCCAAAGTAGATGAAGGACGGCAGGAGGTTATTTTTAATCTGCTAATGTGTTATGGGAGACTGTTGCTGCAATGGAGCATAGAAGGTGCGGGAAGGCAGAGGAAAAATGTAAAATAAGTTTGTTTGAACTAAAAGAACGCATTGTGACAATTTCAAAACTCTTGGTACCAGACCGTTGCCACAGTGAAAAAGAATCATGTAAAATTTTTTTCCCCTTTATTTAATTCCCTAAGAAGTCATGTTCCTACATAGATCACTGGAGTCTGGGCTTGACTGAGCCTGTGGTAAGGGGATAAGGAGATCCTCATTACTGGGCCTTTCCAGAGAGCTCTTGGCTAGTTACATAGCCCAGCACAACAAGGAGTGTTACCAGGAGCTCTGAATTTTGCACCATTCCTCAGGTTGGCTGGCCCTGGGAGATGGTGTGACCTGACCAGAGGGGCAATCAGAGGACATCCCCTTTCCTGGACAGCGGTCAGGTCCCTGCTATTTCACTCCTTCCCCTTCAAAGTATCAGTTTCTTCCTGCTTCTCATGCCTACTATGTCTTTTTCTCCTTTTTTTTTGTAACTTTACATAAGAGCATCCTTAGCAATTCCAGACAGGTCCAGCTGTGGTTAATTTGTCATGGAGAAAATAATATCAAACAGCGCAGAGCTGGGGAAACAAACAACCCAGTGCAAAGCCTGCCCCTAATTGATTGATGAAAGGAAAATTAGGGCTGCCTCGAGAAACAATTTCCATAGCAATGGGAATTGGAGGAAGCTGCGCCGCAAAGCATACATGACCCACCACATCTGTTTGGCCTCTGAATTGTGGGGCACACCAGTGTGGGACACTGTGTGGGCTGGGGCTGGGGCTGGGGTTGAGCCCAGTGCTGCATTGTGGGATGGAGGTAAGCTTCCTGCCCACCCCCAAAAAGCAGGAGGTGATGCTGTGTTTTGTGGTCTTTTCTCTTCCCTTTGCATGGCTTTTCTTTTAGGTACGAAACAAGATCACGCGTCAGCCTAAGCAATGATCACTATCACTTCAAACAAGTTGAGCTTCTTTTATTTTTTCCAGAACAAAATCATCCAGGAGACTTCCAAGGAAGAGTTCCTCCCCTTCAGAAAAACCTCTGCAGGTACTGTGGGTAATAGGGGCATGCTGGCAATTATTAAGACCACGTTCTCCCTTTTTGATGTATAAGGCTCTTAGTTTCAAAAGTGACTAATGATACAGGGCGCATTTAAAATTTTATTTGCTTGATTGGAGATGCCTTAAGGAAGACTTGCTTCTGGCAAAGGAAGCTCACTGCAGCAGTCTCAGGGTGGGAGACCACAGTCTCCCAAGTTGCTAGCTGCTTTTGACAGCTTCATGCATGCATGTGAGTGTATGGCAGATTTGTGTGTGCCTTTCGTTTGCTTCTTAGGCAGGCCATAGAAAAAAAAAAAAAAACAAAAAAAAAACAAAATCAAGTTTCTGGCAGATAAATCATGAACAAATGTTACTCTTAATTTGGTGCAGTGCAAAATTAGCAGTTTACAGATTTTAATAACCCTTAGAGAAAAAAAAAAAAAAAAGCTCAATGAGAAAAAAAAAACAACAACACATGACCATCAACATCAACAACAAAAAAAAAGCTCATTCTGGACTTGAAGCTTGAAAAGGCAGAAAGGCATCCATTTTCATAGCTATCAGTTGGGTGCACCTTCCCCATGCTGCACAGTCACCATGACTTAATTATCTCTCTGTGATGGCTCAGTGCTGACGGGGAATTCGGCACCCAGACAGGAGGCCCTTCTCTCGTAGCACATGGCTCTGTGGCTGCCTTCATTTCTGTGTTTTAAGCTGATAGCCCTTTTCAAAGCTAGAACATGCATTACGGCTTTTGGCGGTGTTTTGATCACCAGCAATGAACAAGACTGCCTCAGAAGAAAGGCAAGGCAAGACTGACGTGATTTTCTCCACGCCACTTTTTTTTCTGACTTACTTTTTTTAACAGCCATTCCTGAAATAAGTGGAAAGAGCGGTCCCTAAGCAGCCTGTCTCATAACTAGTGGCCTCTTCATTATTTTCACTGGTTTATTTTACCAGCGGCCTGGAGAACATATAGAAGTTGCCTTAAGGGTAACAGAAATACAGTCATGCTGTGTAAAACACCGTTTGACCTGGAGATGAATTTGTCTCAAAGCAGCATGACATATTTTTATTTACCTGAACTTTTGGAAATAAATTTTACAGCGCCACTTTTTGGGGAAGGCAAAAGTTGGGAGGCCCCAAGGAGCATACATATTTCAGGAATTTGGAAAAAGTTAAAGAGTTAACGTATTAGAGATATCGTAAGGGATAAAAATAACCTGGAGGGAAAAGCAAGGTATGGAGAATGGTGCTGAGCATGAAGCTGGACATTCCACTGCTTTGCCAAGCAGTGGGATTTATTTATTTTTTTTCTGTTTTCTTTCCTTTTCTTCTCTCTCTCTCTCTCTCTCTCTCTTTTTCTTTTTTTTCTTTTTTTTTTTTTTTATTTTTTCTAAATAGGCTTTCAGGGGGAGTTGGGCGCTTTCTATTGAAAAGCTATTGAAGTGTTGCTATGTTTGGAGCATTTTCTGATATTCAGCTTTCTACCATAGAAATTAGAATTTGCCAGGGAGGGAAAACATCCTCTGTTGTTCTTGCTGCTGTTGACAGGTTTTAGTTGGAAATCTTTCCTTCCCTACCTTCACTGGGGAATGAAAAGCTTGCACTTGACACAGAACTAGAGCAAAAGACAAACAAGGAGAATGACAAAATTAGACAAGTCAAAGTATCCTGATTTGTTTATTATCTTCTTGTTGGTGCTTCCTCTTCTTAGCTTCCTGTCACTCTCTCTTTTTTTTTTTTTTTTTTCTGTTTGTCAGGGCTCTTCTTTCAGACTATCAGCTTTTTGTCCGGGGATTGCTATTGAGTTTTCACACAGGTTAGCATGTTGTGGGCTTGACTGGCAGAGGGTTAAGGGTTACAGCACGTGCCAGTCACTGCAGCCAGCCAGCCAGGAGGCAAGGTCATCCTGGTAACCCCTGTGGTAGGCAGCAGGGGAGCACAAGCAAGAAGGATGAAGTATTTGATGGAAAAGACTGAGTGAAGCCCTTGACGGGAATGTCTGGAATACAAAGAGCTTCACACTCAGTGCTCCTACTGCTTCAGTGCTGTCAGGACATTCATGTAGGCCCTGGCAAGCCTTGTTGCCAAAGGCTGGTAGTTTTGCCGTGTGCCAGCTTACACTTTTATGTGCCACCAACCCCAAGGCAAGACTGTATCTGTGAGATAAACTTGTGCTGTCCTCCTCAGATTAACCTGAGGACATGCTTTAAGGCCTTGCTCGGTCAGGATCGGCAAGGCCCCGGTGCCCGTGCACATGTGCATACTGTGAAGGCAGCGTGCTCGGATGGATGGGGCGTTGTTTCTGGGGAAAAGTCAGGACAGATCTGGTAATGGTAAAGGTAAGGGCAGATCTGACATGACAGTGTCAGAGAGACAGGGACTGATGCCACCAGGGTGACATTTTAAATATACTCTTAGATGGTTTATTTGCAAAGAATGAGCATAATGGTGCTCCCAGAGATGAAGAACTCCACCTGCTCTAGAGATGTAGCTATAGCAACCTCCACAAGATTACATTGCTAATCCGCAGGTGTTGAAGAGGCATAGATAGATGCTGTTGAGTAATTTGGCTCCAAATAGATACTTTGATCTGCATAACAGCTTGCATTCATGTCCCAAATATGGATCATTTCCAATTCTACAGTTCTTCCTTATAAAAGCAACGCTCCCGATCTTTATGTTTTAAAACTTGCCTATGCTATCTAATAAGCCAGACAGCTCCATTACTTTTGGGTGGCGAAGGAGTGAGGGGGAGAAGGAAACCATTTCATTGCCCAAAATCCCCCAAATATTTCTTGCTTGTTTTATCTGAGTGAATTCCCGATCGGAACAAAACCAAACAAAAGAAAATAGGTGTTCTAATTTCCTGTACACATGGTGTACTGATGAATCACTTGCATATTCACAGTAAAGATGGTCTATTCCACTGCAGACTCTGCTGACAGTCTCTGAACATATACCAAACCAGATCGTGCTTCATTAGCAGCCACAACACTGTTAAAGGCATCAAGCTAACGTCTGTCCCGCTTTACTCTCCACGAGAAGTCATTGAACTTGGTGGGGATGCCTGGGATGGAAGACAAGGCAGAATATGGCTCATCATCAAACAGCTCCAAAGGAACCCAGACCTTTGATAAGCAAAATCTGCGGAGCACTGATTCAATGAAAGGAAGGAATTCAATAGCTCCAAGAGAAAAATGACCCTTCATTGTGTTCCTGCTAATCTGCTGGAGCACTCCTTTAGGAGGGGAGTTTAGTCACGCACTCATCGTTTCATAAAAGCTGGTTAAGGACATTTGATGAAGCCTCTAAAGTCTGTATTGCTTGCCCCTTTCCTTCTCTCTTCTTTATCCTTTATTTCTTTGCCAACTGAACATCCCACAGCCTCGTTGTTTCCCTCACTTCTTGAAGCATCCTATCCTGCTTTTTTTTTCCTGATCCTGCTTCATTTATTTCTTTGCAGGCTGCTTCATTATCACTTTATTTATTTACCTGAATTATTCTGCTGTATTAAAGACCAACATGTCAAAAATCAGAAGCTTGCCTTTCACATGAACAGCATGCAAGTGACAGTGCAGTTGTACACAGCACGATCACCTGCTGCTTTTCCCATGGGACCCTGCCTTGCCCCTTTGCTCAGGATGCAGCCTTTCCAGCAGCTTTACCTTACTGCCAAAATCAGAAGTTCCTCCTCCTGCCCCTCAGCTTTGAACATATTGCTCCTGGTTGCTCCCTATTGATGATACTCCCCATCTTAGTGACCAGTCTGAAAGAAAAAGTCCCTTATCAATAAGGTAGCATTAATTATACCCTTAACTTTTAGTTCTTTATTACTTAGATCTTCTCTCAATTTATCCATTACTTTTCCTAAGTTTGGTATCAAGTAAACTGGACTCTATTTGCTTGCATGGTGTCATTTGCCTTGGAATTTTTACACAATGTTGACATTGACCTTTGAGGATTTCCCCACTATTTTATGATTTATTAAAAATTTACATATACAGCCTAAAAGTATGCCACACTAACTCTTCCATAGCTCTTGGGGGACGCATCTGTGGACCTTATGATTTCAAAAATGCTTAAACCTGGTACAAGTTGTTCAATATCTTCCTTAATTTTTAATATGTCCAAAAATATATTATTCCAAACAGAGAACAGAAATAATTGTTGAACCATTTTGCCTCTTTCTTCATTGTTATTAATGACTTGGCTATCTCCAGATAGTAATGAGAGTGTGACACTGATGTTTTTTCTGCTATTACTAATAAGTTTTCAAGAAACCCTTCTAAAACATAGCCTGACCAGCCATGGATTTTCTTTTGATGTCTTTAGTATCTTTTTATCAATTTTCTACACCTCATAAGCTCTTATTTATATGGATTTTTATTACCTCCTTCTTTTTCCCCATATGTTGCATATTGCTTTTTAATTTGTTATTCCTGCCTTCATTCTTCCACTGAAAAAGAATGTGCTTTTCACCAATATAACTCAGCTACTTCACTGTGAAGTAACGGCTTTTTGGCCATTTTATATGTGCTTCTTCCTCATATATTTTCCCTCATTTACATTTCTCTGTTTGCTTCTGCCATTACATTCCTTTCCACTTTGTAACTTTTCTCAGTTTGGGAGACCACTGTTTTTAAGTACCAAGTGTGTGTGGTACTTTGCAATGGCAAGCATCCCCAGGCAGCCTGTGCTTTCTGTATCAGCAGTTTTCCTTGCCAAACAGCCTATGGAGGACACCAGTCTGCACCTGGATGGGGGCAGCAAAGTATCTGAAGGACACCAGTTTGGCTTCCATAGGACAATTACATCAGATTTCTCCCCATCAGTGGTTATTTTCAGGTCCTCCTGCTTGCTACCCAATCTCCTCATATTGGTCTATTTGTCATACTGGTCACACTGGTTCTTTGTTCTGGTGCTCCACGAGGTGGGAGAGGGTCTCTGGCTGAGCGAGTCCCCAGACCACCTACCCTGTAGGACCTGAGGCCTCACAGAGGGGAAGAAGCTGGCTCAGAGGGCAGGACAGGCAGAGCCAAAATAAACAATCATTCTTCATCTTTTGCCTCAACTGCAAACCCTACCCTTCCTCCCAAATTGCTTTTGAGCTGTATTGTTCCCTGACGTGCAAGAGTGTTGTTAGTGAGCCCAAATAGCCTCTCAGTTATCTAGTTGAGTGGGAAATATCACGTATTGCTGAAGGGAAATCTTAACTCTCTCTCTGTATGTGAACGCTAGCCCATAGCAGAAATAGCTCCAGATAGAAAAAAATACTATTTTGGGAATCAAAATCAGCACTTTTTCATGTTTAGGTACGTTGTTTTTCACCTTGCTTAGCACTTCAAGTGCAAGGTCATGTGGCAAATCATTACACCAGCAATGTGCATCCCTGTTTGAAGAACTCCATCACGAATTGATTTGAAAAAGATCTGGGTAGCGCCTATTTCTTTTTCTTGACAACAGCTCCATTATTCACAATCTATTTATGCAAAATCTTTTGCTGAGAGATATTTTCATTTTAATTGCAGGCAGCAGCCATTTTGAGGAAAAAGTCGATATTCTTAAAGTGGGAATAATCTTTTAAAATGATAATGCAAAACTGTAGCACCCCCACACCCATGGATTTGTATCAGGGAAATATTATATAGAAGAGACCACCTGAGACCACCTAGGCAAAGCTTCCTTGAAGCTGGATCAGCATCAATACTAGGTCAGGCCAGCCTGTATGCTCACACACACAAACCCCTCATACAAAAATTTCTGTCTATCTTTCCCTGTGTGTACGCACATCCACCAAATTACAACTTTTATTAGCCTTCACTATTTTTAGTAGATTTTAAAACCTTACGCAGGTGCTGTATCTTAGAAATACAGCTTTTAACACCAGCTGGTTTCACTCTCCTAAGTGTTTTATCTGGAAGATTAGATTACACACCCTGGGGAAGAAAGCGACTTAAATACATTGTACAGCAGGTAAAGTGCTTTGGGCTCTGCATTGTGTCATTAAGACCCATACGAGAAAGCAGCAAGACTTATCTTAATCTTGCTGATCGCCTCAATTAACACGGTCCCCACAGTGTCCTCTTTGATATCTAATCCCCATGGTTTCTTGTTCTATGTATTCTGCGTTTATAATATTCTTTATCAGATCATTGCTAGGGGTACGAAAATACGTATTAAGTAAGTGAGGATGTGGCAGTTATTGAGAAGAGTCACGTGCCTAATTAACATGGAAATTAGGCAATGGACTATTAAGTCTTTCATGCAAGGGAAAGAAATGTACTAGATACGGGTGCTAAAAATAAAAAAAAAAAAAAAAGAAATGGAAAGGAAAAAGTGCCCAGGAAAGGAGTCTAATTATAAGCAGAATTCAAAAGCAATGCCATTCAAAACAACCTGTCTACTCCTGGCAAACACTTTCATCATTCGGAAATAACTTTCCGTACACAGCGACATAAGCAAGCAGTGAAAAAGAGGGGGGACGTCCTCCCACAGCTCACGCATGCAAGAAGTAGTGACATTATCTCTGTACTCATAGGACTTTTCCTTATTCATGAGGGTAGCCTCAACTCCCAGAGCAGCCCAAGTGTACTCCTCAGTTGCACGAGGACAAATAAGAACGAAGATTGAAATCCAGGGATCCTGATGAAATGATGATCTTTATCTTTCCAGCCAATTCCACAAATACTGCCTAGCATAAAGACTGATGTGGTTAAAAAATAGAATATAATTCCCAGGGAGAGAATATCAGAGAGTTTGGGAGGCTGACAGCCTTCAGCTGGCTATGAGCAGTACCAGCAGAAGCAATCCCCCATCCAAAATTGCTTTTTGCTCTCTGATATGCCATCTGATGCTCCGGATGGCCTTTGACAAGTGTCCCAGAGCCAGGCTGCTGCGGCAAGGAAGAGCAAGCATCACAGACGAGAGCAGCAGCCAGCAGCACTCTTACTCCCCAGCACACACCCTGCCACGAAACGTCATCTTGGGGATCGCATCCCTGCCAGTACAGATTTTCTCTTCTCTTAAGGCTCATGATGAGAGCTGACAACTTGGTGACTGCTTCATTTTAGGGTTTTCCTCCTTCCTTTCCTTACTGTTTCCACCACCCCAACCCACCTCCAACACGCAAGGTATGGGGGCTCATTTTGGAGAAGAACGGCGGAGGGTGAAATGCTCTTTTCAAATGCTGCATGGTTTATCATATGAGTCCTTAAATGTTTTGTCTGGATCAGTTTTTTAACTCAGTTGAGTGCTTGCAACTTACTGGGTAACTGCCATGAAGCAGAGCAGCAGAGGCTGTGATAGTGAATGACTGCTGCAAAGAGTTTTTCCTCTCCTCTATCCTCTGCCAAAATCCTAAGTGACGTACACCTGTTTCTGAGCAGGGAAACCCACTCTGTCTTTTATATTGCCTTTCCTGACTGACTCCCTGACTATATATTACAGTAACATGCCAGAACAACACAAATATATATGTATATATATATATTCCTGGAAGAAGAGCATCCTTTATTAGTGAAGATGCAAACGTATATATGAATATCCCATCCTTACTACTCACGATGCAAACAGCTCCTCATTTGCATTGCTGTGGTTTAAATGTAGATGGTCTAAGATAAGTCATTGTCAGATGTCCGTAAATATTGATGAGCACTCTGGGACCCTGTGTGTAACCATCTGTTTCCTCGCTGTCACCACCTGAGAGCTATGTATTAGCAGAGATGTCGATCGAGTTTCTAGGAGGTAAACACATGCCTTTGCTTAGCAAATGACAGCAAAAGAAAAGAAAGTTAGGGAGGAAAATTTCCAGCTGAATAATGAATCAAGCTAGGCTGGAGGCTGGTGAGCCTTCGTTAGGAGTCTGACACATCGGCAGCTTTCCACCCTCACATTCCCTGTGCCCTGTATCAGCCCCATCTCTGCACAGTGCCTGCCTGTTGGTGCCCAAAACACCACCCATGGAGTCTCTTCTTGGACTGGGGTCAGCAGCAGCCCCCTGGCTTGGGGACAGTGCTGCTGCTCCTCTCCCGCAGACCAAGGGGGAGAAAGTGCCAGCAAACAGGATGAGGGAAGGTGAATCTGGGCCACCCCACTACCTCCAGAGGCCATCAGCAGGTCTAGCGAACTATATTCATCTTGTCAGGACCTTGTCACTTCTTTTTTTCCTTATTTTTTCCCCCCTAATGGGCGTTTCAACACTCCTATTTTAGATGCCTCAGTGAAGTGCCTCAAGTCATAAGGAAGGGAGCTAGAACATCAATCTGCATCTGTTGTCTCCTGCAGAGTTGTCATCAGTCATCTTGTCTGAACCAACAGGTAAGGGACAGCATGATCCAAAGGGCAGCCCCAGAACTAGGGGTCAGGTGAGGTTGTCCCAGACAAGGTCACCTCCCTGAGCCTCAGTTCTAACTCTAAAATGAGAAAAACACTTATTGCTCCAATTTATTTTCTGTTTTAGAGGAAAAATACTCTGTAAGTGCTATGGTTTATTATTCTAATGTGACTGTAAAATCATGATGTCTTTATTGCAAAATGATCTTTAAAACATGAAGCATTAGGATGGTGACTGAAATCATTAGTATCAAATTGTTCTGCTTTTGCCCTGTCACATTGATACTTCAAAGCAAAATTGTCTCGTGGGCGTTTATAAGATTTCGTAAGGATAGCTTGTCTTTTCAAACCTTCTTCAGGGGAGGAGGGAAGAAGCCCCCAGACGTTTTCTTAATGAATGAGGACCAGGGGGCTCTGCCTGTTTAATTCTTCTGATTTCTTTTAATATTTAAATTCCAAACCTGCTAACAATCAACGTGATGAAAATGAGCCTCTGCTTGTTTTGGAAATGGTGCGGGCAGACATCCCTGCTCCCCAGCCCCACCTGAGCTGTGAGCTGTGAGCACTGTTGTGCTCACTGAGATGCTGTCTGGTGGAGACCACAGTGCCCCATCCCTCCCTCTGCCCACAGAAGGTAAGTGGAGGTCTCCCTGTAGTCCCAAAGCTCCCTGGGACCACTGAGAAGAAATGCAGGTAAATTTAATGAAGAGGAACATTCAGGTAGAAGACAGACAGGAACCTATACCAAGCCTTCTTCTGGTGCTGGAGAACCCAGCCAGAAGGCACAGCCCCATAACAAACCTCATTCCATCACCTCACGAAGGAGTTGGTAGTGACTGGACTGGGGAAGATGCTCCAGGTTTGTGCAGATGGCCTGCCACAGGGTCATGAGCTTGTACAACTCTGCTCACAGCTGCTTCAGGTAGTTCTTGGGAAAATGCTACACCCAGGCCCTTACATCAAATTTATAACAAAACCCAGGTGTAGGAGAGCAGAGACAAACATCCCCACCTTTACCTGTCCCTCAGGTTTCCATGAGTTCATTGCTGGCCCTGCAATCAGATCTCAGAAGTCTGCACTGATGATATCAGGTTTTTGAGAACTTTCTGTGTGGTTTGGGGAAAGTTTCTTTTTATTATACTGTGTTACATGGGTCTGAGAGACACAGAAACAATTGTGTGTTTACGTATACAACGTCACAAGTAAAGGCCAACAAAGGAAAAACCAATAGCGTGGCTCTGATGCTACTATTGAGTATGACTACTATCTAGTTTTATGGCAAACCAGTTCATTAGCATTTAAATCGATTCTTAAATATTTTCTCTGAAATTCAGAGCAATATAAGCCTTAAATCCAGGACTGGTAATGTTGTGATTTTTATGTCTAATTTTAGATTTAATTTTTGCTCTAATAGATTGAGATTATATGGCCACACAATTTCCGAGAGCTGCTTTAAAATGCACAGATTTGTGTTTTGCCTATAATGAGTAAAGAAAAAAAATAAAAAGGAAGTAGGCATTATCACATACCCATATGCAAAATTGACAGAAAATCTTCAAATTCCTGAACATAAACTCCTCACACATTCCAGCTTACAAATTAAAAGCCTAGAGAGAAGATGTATCTTTTAAGCTGTGTACAGGACTTAAAATATCAATCAAAAGGACCTTGACAATCCTGTAAATTGAACGCCATAGACTTCAGTCTGTGCATACCTATATTGTTCCAAACTTGGCATAAAATACAAGCAAAATGAGTCAAGTGGCCTCCATCCAGCCTCTGTCCGCATATGATGGGGTTCAGTGGTCACCATGATCTCTTTCTGACAGCACCTGCTCCACCAGTGCCTGTGGGTGGAGGGCAGCAGTGGTGGGGGCTTGCAGGGAACAAATCACACTCTCAGTATGTTGACATTTATAGACTGTAGACATAAAAAATGCCCCTTGCCTATCTCTGCCGTATACTTCAGACCATTATTTTCTCTGCTAAATTTGACCAGCTACCCCTTAAAGCATTAAAAAAAAAAAAAAAAAAATGTTCATACTGCTTTCACACTGCTACAAAAAGGCAAAACTCACCACAAGCCAAATTTCTTTGGCTTTTCTGTCTTTTCAGTGACCTTTGTGAGTGGGAGCATATTTTCACTCCGTTTATTTGATTCTGTTAGTTAATCTCACCCCATGGATTGTAAAATCCTTGTGAGTTTTGTGGTTTCAAGAGGTGTTTTTTTGTTGTTGTTGTTGTTGTTTTGTTTGTTTGTTTGTTTGTTTGTTTCAGCTGTGGTTTCTATAGCTGAGTAATCTGGTGCTGCTTACTTCAGTCACAACTAGAACTGGAAATCCTTCAGAGACTGACAAGTTAACAAATGGACACTAGCAATATTCTGTTGCTCATCTGCCTGATGTTGTATTTTAATTAGATTGAGGAAGATAAAAAGGCTGCTTCTTCAGGTATAAGCTACTACAAGACCCTAGGGAAAAAAAAAAAAAAAAAAAGAGAGAGAGAGAAAAAAAAAAAAAAGAAAAAAAAAAGAAACTGTTTAAGGGACGGGAGTGTTTATGCTATTAGTCACAGAAGGCTGACTTCTCTCCGTCCTGCCCTGTTGACAAATCTTGCTAACATTGTAAAAGAATCACCCCTTCGCTCTGATGTGGGAACTGTTTTAGATGATGAATTACCACAACGCTGACAATTGCACATCTTCTGCATTGCATTACAAATGAAAAAAAGTTGTTTGAGAACATCCTTGTTGAGTATCAGCCCATGAAGACATTGAACTTTGGTGTGGGAAAGGCTTGTTCAAGGTCTGTGCATTTCTTATCCATTTAACAAGCAGTGCCATAGGGAATCTAGAGGTAGAGAGAAATTACTGTCACTGGATTTTATTTTATTAAACTAAATTTTCGATATGAAGAGTGTGACCGCAATTTCTCTTTAGCAATAAAAGCTTGATTATGAACTGAATGTCACCAGTTCAGCGAAGTGCGTTCAACTAAGTGCTAAATTCACTTCTTTGCAGGAATATATTTCTGCTCATTAAAACATTAGGCCACTTACACGGGGTTTTGTACTGTATCAAAGGGAACAGCGAGTAACCTAGGGATTCACATTTCCTCTTCCACACTTCTTTTACAAGACTCACTGTACTTTTAAAAATCACAGTTCAAAAACTCAGAAAGTTGTCTGAAGAGACAAGGTTAAATCAAAAGCTTACAAGTAAATCCTCTTGATGCAATTTGATTTCAAGGTTACATCCAGATGTCCCAGATCATTCCAATCAATCCATGAGTCTGAACCTTTGAAAAAGAGCTGATCCCAATTGCACCATGAACTCTGCATCTTTGACCTTCCTATACTGTTTGTTATTAAATGTCTTCATGACCCTAGCCCAAACCTCAGTACAGCCAACACAGGATCCTCACCATCAACTTCAGAGGACTTTGGACTGAATCCTGTCACGTTGCAACAACAATCCCCTCTCCCTTCAGCCCTCTCCTTCCTCACAAGCTATCAAATGAGTGATGGGTTGTTCTGGCTCCGGAGAGCACAAATTGACTTCTATTTCGTGCTCACAATTCTACCTTTCCTCCCAAAATGTCTTCCCATAATACCATCCTTATTCTCACTATCTGTCCTCTCGGTGACTACAAGACTGGTGAAACTTGCTTGTGCTTTGTGTTTTGCGAATCTATTTATCTATTTATTTATTTATTTATTTATTTAATATGGGCGCCATATGAATAATGTAAAAACAAAACTTGCAAATGCAGAACTGTGCATAACTAACACCACACTTCTAGGTGATGCTGACTGGTGCATGGGCCAAGAGGGTTGCTCCTTCCTTGGTTTTAACCAGGTTGGATTGGGCCCTTTGCTTTAAATGTCTTTGGCACATAGTTCTCAAATATGAGCAACTGAATTCTTTCTGTGTTAATGTTTCCCTCATCCAGAAATGTCGGACACTACCTGAAAGATGCTTCCTTTGCTCACAGCCCTAGGTAGAGGGCTGGGAAACAACTATATATGTGGAAGGAAAACTTGCCAAAGTTCCTTGTACATCCCAAACTAAGACAAAGCAGATCCCTTGTTGAATGTTGCGAGAGGATTAGGCCATAAAAGGACTGTGACTATCTACTTAAATGATCTGGATAATATCTCTTTATCTTAGCGACTACTTCCTTTTATATCTTACACAGATGGTGTCCCAAATGCATAAACCTTTTCTCCTGATAGCACATTAGGTATGCTCTTGAGGTACAACATCAGTAATGACTTTCTTTCAATGTAATTATATTTTAATTACACATTTAAGGCCAAATTCTTTTCTGGTCTACCCCAACTTACACTCTTTGAAACCTTATTAATTTTAATTAAGCAGTAGTTGGTGCAAAATTTCTAGCTGTTGAATTTTGCATTAAAATTTTTAAATCCATTTAAACATGGATTTAATTTCCACAAGCACTTCAATTAGCAATGTGCTCTTTCATTTAGTCTTTCAGGGCAATAACATGAAATTTCTGGAACATAAAGTCCTTTCCAACAGATGGTACTAGTTCAGAACCCACCTCTAAATGCTTCCCAGTTTCCATTGGTAAAGGAGAGTTGTTTGCTGCAGACCCTGACAGAACTTCCCTCTTGTTAACATCAGTAGCAGTAGCACTCCATCAAGGATGGCCAAATTTGCTTGTAAGCATTTTTACCTAACTATTTCTCTATGCTCCGTTCCTGAGACAGGATGGCCAAGAGCATGGTCTGCATGGGAAGCCTTCGGAGGTGGCATCAGGAAGCACTTGTTCTGAAGTCTCCACGTGAGCACAGATTTGGCGTAAGGAAGAAGTGTGGTAATGGGTATAAAAGACAGCAAGAAAAAATGGAGGTAAAAGTTTTTTAGACAGTTTCTGTCTAAACATTGAACTGGCTGAACACGAAGGACAAGAAGTGACCTGATTATTTTCACAATAATACTTGGAACAACTGAACTGTTGAGAAAGTTATTTGAAGACTTGACCTGGACAGAATAAGACTGTAAAGGGACACCGTAATTGTGCTCAAAACATAAAGAAAAGTAAGGGGTAATAGAGCCTTATGCTTCAGATGTAAGATCTCTGACATGATGCGTATCTTAGGAGACATTACAGAGCCCCTAATTGCAAACAGTGCTGCTTGTGGGTCTCGAGATACAAATCCATTCCTGGATAAATTAGCCAGTGCCATGAAAAAGTTGCTGTCCAGCTCTCACAGGCAGCATCAACATGTGGGGCCCAGCAGCTCCCCAGCATCTGCCTGCAGGGCATTTGCAACCCAGGAGGGAGGGAGGCTGCTGTAAGCTACTGCAGGCAAAATGCACTTCAGGAGGTGCCAGTCCTGCCTCCCAGAGTTTCTCTTAAATAGCCAACCAGCAGTTGCAGCAAAGACCTGCCAACACTTATCCAACACACGCTGAACACGCAAAAGACAGTCTTGCCAGAGCAGAGCCACGGAGCATATCCTTAGGCCAAGCTTGAGTGCCCGTAGTGAACGCTGTCAGACCAGGAAAGCGGCAAGCTGTTTTCAAAAAAAAAAGCCTGGGCAGGTCTGTTTGTTTGCTTTTAACAACAAGATGGTGCACAGGCACAGCATCTCACTACCCCAGCTCGGCAGAGACAGCTTTCTAGCTTCACAGAGCCACGGGTGCAAAAGGAGCAAAGATGCAGTTTCGGTCTGGGGCAGACCAGTGAGGATGACTGGAGGCTGAATAATGGAATGAAAAGTCTGTCTGACAGACACCCCTGGGAGAGGAGTTAAAGGGAGCTGGGTCTGAGTAAGACAGAAGACAGATTACAGCTGTGTTAGACCCGATGTATTGTGTGAAACACTATGCACAAATGCTTAGCAGACAATAGCTTTAGCAGCTTGACGGCAAGTTTAGGGCTACATTTGTGAGTGCTAGTTGTGCACAAAGTCTCTTGACTCAAAGGTGAAAAACAGATTATGTGCATGTCTGTCTGATCCTTCTAAAACCTCTCCCATTTCAATCCAAATGCAAAGAGGACACGATGCTCCTGGGCCCTGCAGGGGCAGGGTGGCCTCTCACCAGAACCTGCACCAGCCTCACAGGAATCCTCAGTACCAAAATCGCTGGGATGGTCATTTATTGGGATGCCACCCCCAAGCCCCAGAGGAGAAGGCCACAAAGAGATTCATCTGGGAAGGGCTTGAACAGATGGGAGCCACTTCTCTGTGAAACCTCACAACTGAGATTATATAGCACTTACTTATAACACTGGGTCACCACAGCCTTGAAAAATCTCTGCTCTTCCTCAGGAGGAGGTAGTCAGCTGCAGCCCAACTAGGAAAGAACGGCATTTATGCTATGGATGCTGCTAGCACACCAGAAATAAAACTGAAAGATTTACCGGCATGAAACAACTGAGTTGCTGGTGACTCAGGGGAGAACGGGAGGTCAAAACAGCAAAGTAAGTCCCAGAGGCTGTATTTTGTTAACGCTTGTTTCATGTCAGTGCTTGCTGTTTGGGTATTGGAGATGCAAGGCCAGGTAGCCCCAGGATGCTGCGGTATGAAGTGTCTGGAGCTGCCCCTTTGGGACTGCAGAGGACCATATTATGCGTGTATCGACCAACAATGCTTAAAGCCAGCCTCTGTGGGCTCTGCGTGGCAGCTGGACAGTGCGGCTACAGGCGCCTGCAGTGACTCTGAAAACAGCTTTTCTAGATATGGAGCTTTTTCTAGATACAGAGCATTTTTTTTACAAGCAGCTGAGTGCCTTTTGGTTATTGCTCAGCAGCTGGTACATGACATAGCTGGTGCTACCAACAGTCTGGAGGAGAAAGAGGCGGTAAGGAGCTGTGCTGTGCGCGGAGCTGAGCTCACCTTCTTCTTCTGCCAAGTTTTGGCAGACAGACAAATTTTTAAAGGTGATGCTTGCCTCTAAGTGCAACATGTAACTCATATTGCTGCAGTCTATCCATCTTGTGTGCTAGGCCTACAGGGACAAGGGATCACCATTTCATGTGTGTGGTGGTTTTACATTGCTGGGCAGCTGAACTCAGCCACAAGTGTTCTCTCACTCCTCCTCCTTAGAAAACGAGGGGAGAAGAAAGTATGCTGGAAAGAAATAAAAAAAAAATAACTCACAGGTTGAGATAAGGATAATTTAATTAAAGGGAAAAGGAAGAGAAAAAAAAAAAAAAAAAAAAAAAGGAGAAAAGAAAAGGCTGCTTGGAAGCACACATAGAGAGAGAAAAGAAATTACTCTCTACTTCCCATCAACGAGAGATGTTCATCCACGTCCTGGGAAGCAGGGCCTCAATGTGCATAGAAGATGTTTGGGAGGACAGACGTCTTCATAATGAAAGCCCCCTCTCTCCTTCCTCTTTCCCACTTTTACTGATAAGTGTGACATCACATGGTATGGGATATCCCTTAGGTTTGTTTAGGTCAGA